AAAGAAAAGTGCAGAAAGGTGGAGAAAAGCACCTTTATTTTTCAGTGGTAGCATTGAGAATGGTGATAAAAAATACCAAGGCTGTGGGCACTAATTTGGAAAATATACTGTACAACATGGAATGTGGGCATTCCTTTAAGCGTAGCGATTTGAATATGTCTGCCTCTTTATAAAGAAATCTGCATTGGCTTTTCTAAAATTTGCACAATTAAAAGAGTTCATCTAGATATCATTTCTTGGATAAGTTATCGCTCCCAAGTGTCAAACCTTATGCTTTATGAGAACTATGTCTGCAGAGATTGATGCATGTTACTTTAGGGCAGTGGTGGCAAACCTATGGCATGGGTGCCAGAGGCGGCACTCAGAGCCCTCTCTGTGGGCACGCGCGCCGTCGCCCCAGTCCTAGGCCTTCAGCTGGGTTTTATAAAACCTTTTCACTTTAGGCCTCTGCCGCCGTGTACAAAAAAAAAAAAGGTTCAATCAATCAGTCAATTTCAACTTCTCACGGAAAAAAAAAGATCTTGCAAAGTTGGAATTGATTGATTGAACTTTTTAGTCCTACCCAGTCTGCCATTACCACCGTAGTCATGCCCACCCAATGGGCCACACCCACCTGGCACCCGATGATGCAAAAGTGGGTTTTGGGTTGCAGTTTGGGCACTTGGTCTCTAAAAGGTTCGCCATCAGTGCTTTAGGGCCTGGTTCACTTGTTGTCTTATGGCTAAACCACAATGAGATTTGTTTGTGTTGTGAAAATGCTGGGCTTGAGAGAGTCATGCCCAGGTTTATCCTAGTTGGGGAAACTCATTAGGTAGCATAAGGCCAATTTCCCATCCCAGCCTCTTCTTCTCGGTGGCTGTGGCAAAAAAAATCAAGAGAGATCCTCTGTATGTTCCTTTATAGGTAGTCCTCAACTTACAACATTTCATTTAGAAACCTTTCGAAGCTACAACAGCACTGAAAAAAATGACTTTTGGCCATTTTTCACACTTTAAACTATTGCAGCATCTTGATGGTCAGGTGATCAAAACTCAGACACTTGACAATTGACTCATATTTATTATGATGGTTGCCGTATCCCGAAGTCATGTGATCACTTTTTGTGACCTTCTGACAAGCAAAGTCAATGGGGAAGCCAGATTCATAACAGCCATGTTACTAACTTAACAACTGCAGTGATTTGCTTAACAACTGTAGCAAGATAGGTAATAAAATCAGGCAAAATTCATTTAAAAACTGTCTCGCTTAGCAACATAACTTTTGAATTCAATCATGATCGTAAGTCAAGGACTACCTGTATATTCCCAGAAGAAAGGCAGGATAATACTCTAGCAAATAATGTTTTGCTTGCCATGTTACCCAACCATTTTGGTTTGGCTTAGTTTGGTTTATATCAGGGGTTCCCAACCAGGGGTGCTCACACCCCCTGGGGGTGCGAGATGATATTCCAGGGGGTACGAAAACTTGGATTTTCAAAATTATAGTGTATGTGCATAATTCGTTGCCATTATTTCGAACTTTTGTAAGGGTGTGAGAATATATCAGAAGCGTTCTAGGGGTGCGGGGTATAGAAAAGGTTGGGAACCACTGGTTTATATCATGTTGTAGTTGAATCTACTCCTTGGTACTTATCAATGAATCATGGTGAAGCAAAATGTGGGTTACTTTAAATGTAAATTCATTTAGAATATAGGGATTGAATGATGAACTAAATTGAAACATTTAAAATTATTTCCATTTTATATGGTCAGGCATATAAACATTTAATTATCCATGTAAAAGTGACAGGCATGCACATAAAACACATATTACTGCCAGAAATTCTCTCCTTGTATCTTCTCTGGTTTCACTAAATTTCAATACTATAGACTATTCATCTTAACCAACCTTGGTTTGGCTATAAAAAAGACTAACCATGGTTTTTAAAAAGGCTGTTTCAACTGACTGGGTTTGCTCAACACATTAAGGTACAACATTTTGTAAACAAAAATACTTCAGTTCATATGTAAAACCAAACACTCATAAATTTTAGGGAGATATGAGTTTAAACATGCTTGGAGTAAACACATATCTGTCATCGACAAAATTTTTAAAAATAAAACAAAAAAATAAATAAATACATAAATTAAAAACAAAACAAAACTCAAAAGGTAGACTTCATAGTCCACTAGGACTTTTTCTGCCATCAGTTTTCTATGTTTTTATATATGAAATTGTTCTTAGCCTTAATCACAGTCACTAATGCAATACTCAACTTTTACTGGAGGGGAAATTTACACAAGACAGCAAAGTCTGGGGAAAGGGAGTACAGAAATTTGTGGTTCACCCTCCATTTTACAACCACAATTAAAAGGTGGCTCTAAATTGCAACTCCATCTCTCCAGCATTAGTCATGATATAAACACAGTATGAATTGCTACATACCGTACTTCATAAACAGGTAGTTCTATGACATCTGTGACATTTGTGGAGTTTTTAATATTTGCCAGAATAAATAAGTGCAAACCTACACAAAAAGGGGCCCTGTGGTTTTTCAATTTTATCTTATTTATTTGCAAAAAAATCAACAGCAACTAACATCTGTTTAAAGAACTAACTGATGAGTAATAAAGAGTAATGATCCTGTTAAAAATAGAAATGTTGGGCCAGCAAACAGACATAACCACAAATAATAACAGTCAGAGTGAATTAAAAATCTAGAAACAAAACAGATACCTATCACAAAATCTTGTGTAAAACTAAATAATTGGTTTTGATACTGATGGAAAATTAGTATTATTTAATATAAAATCATTAAAATTAATATTAGTATCCCACATATTGCTTTGGTAAGACCACACTTAGAATACTGTGTCCAATTCTGGTCACTGTGATTCAAAAAAGATGTTGAGATTCTAGAACGAGTGCAGAGAAGAGCAACAAAGATGATTAGGGGGCTGAAAGCCAAAACATGAAGAACGGTTGCAGGAATTGGGTATGTCTAGTCCAGGGGTAGGCAACCTTGGCTCTTTTATGACTCCTTGACTTCAGCTCCCAGAATTCCTGAGCCAGCATGGCTCAGCTTGGAAACCTCTCCTTTTCCCCTCAGCATGGCTGGCTCAGGAATTCCGGGAGTTGAAGTCCACAAGTCATAAAAGAGCCAAGGTTGCCTACCCCTGGCCTAGTCTAACAAAAAGAAGGAGTAGGGATAACATGATAGCAATCTTCCAATATTTGAGGGGTGGTCACAAAGGAAGAGGGGGACAACTCTATTCTCCAAAGAACCTGAGGGCCGAGACAAGAAATAACAGGTGAAAACTTATAGAGAGATCTCAACCTAAAACTAAGGAGAAATTTTCTGATAGTGAGAACAATTTATCAGTGGAATAGTTTGCCTTCAGAAGTTATGGATGCTTCATCACTAGAGGTATTCAAGAAGAAATTGGATAGCCATTTGTCCCGAATGGTATAGGGCAGTGGTGACGAATCTATGGCACGGGTGCCAGAGGCGGCACTCAGAGCCCTCTCTGTGGGCATGCGCGCCATCGCCCCAGTCCTAGGCCTTCAGCTGGGTTTTATAAAACCTTTTCGCTTTAGGCCTCCGTCACCATGTGCAAAAAAAAAAAAAAGGTTCAATCAGTCAATTTCAACTTCTTGCGGGAAAAAGAAAGATCTTGCAAAGTTGGAATTGATTGATTGAACTTTTTAGTCCCACCCAGTCGCCATTACCACAGCAGCCACGCCCACCCAATGGGCCACGCCCACCCAATTGGCAACACCCAGCCAATAGGCCACACCCACCCGGCACTCGACGATGCATAAGTGGGTTTTGAGTTGCAGTTTGGGCACTCAGTCTCTAAAAGGTTCGCCATCACTGGTATAGGGTCTCCTGCTTAAGCAGGGGGTTGGACTAGAAGATTTCCAAGGTCCCTTCCAACTCTGTTATTTTGTTGTTCTGTTAAAAGCAGTAATTTTTTTTAAAATATTGGAAACGATCAAAGAAAAGACTAGCATGTTCTTTCTTTGGTGGTCTTTTCATTTCCTACATCATCTTATGATAAGGACATTGACACACTGTATACACATTATCTAGTTCTGTGGAGTGATATATAAATCTTATGAATGAGTAAACAGATCTGTCAGGAGTGCAGATCGTCATGATTTACAAAAAGTTAATGTGACAAAAATCTAATACATTGCAGCTACCACAAAAGGTATCAAATATGATGATGATGATGATGATGATGGAAGGGAGCTTGGAGGTCATCTAATGTCCAACCCCTTGCTCAGGCAGGAAACCCTATACCATTTCAGACAAATGGTTGTCCATTCTCTTCTCAAAACGTCCAGTGTTGGAGCATTCACCGCTTCTGGAGGCAGGTTGTTCCACTGGTTAATTGTTCTAACTGTCAGGAAGTTTCTCCTTAGTTCTAGGTTACTTCTCTCCTTGATTAGTTTCCATCCATTGCTTCTTGTCCTGCCTTCAGGCGCTTTGGAGAATAGCTTGACTCCCTCTTCTTTGTGGCAGCCCCTGAGATATTGGAATACTGCTATCATGTCCCCCCTCGTCCTTCTCTTCATTAAATTAGACATACCCAATTCCAGAAACCGTTCCTTATATGTTTTAGCCTCCAGTCCTCTAATCATATTTGTTGCTCTTCTCTGTACCCTGTATTCTGTACTCTGTTCTCTGTACTATGGGAAACATAGATTTGATTCTGATAATACTAAGCTAGGATTTTAAAATTATGGTTTATTGATCAAGCCATAATGGTCTGGTTCACCCATAACACTAAACCATATAGTGATTAGATTTATACAGCAAACAAGCCAGGCTATATATGATCCAGACCAATATTATAACAAACTGTTATGGGTAACTACAACTTAACTGCCAAATATTTCAGCACATCTGCATCAGTAGGAAAGAATTATGTTTGCTTTCTATGTAACATAGTTTACACTAGAAAAACCTATGCCTGTAGTTTGCTTACATCGCATTCTCATATTTGTTTCTCTAGGCCAGAAATGTGCACAATGGCGAGTTGGCTGCAGTTAAAATTATCAAACTAGAACAAGGTAAGCATTTCTCTATTTTCTAATGGTACTGAATTGTTTTCTTAATCACACTGCTAATCAAATTCTTATTCCAAAGAACTGGAGCCGTTCTCTCTTTATTTCATTTTATCTCCTTCAGCAGTAACCCTGGGATAAAAGCCAGTCTTTGAATAAAGGTCAGGCACCAAAACTTCAAGGATACTTCAAGAGGAATTAAATTTGTCCACCCCCACCAGTCCCCTCCCTTCGGTTTTAGTTTTTTATATTCTGTGCCACATTTTTGGAGAAATATTAGGCTGGGATTCTGGCTAAACGGAGAGCAAACCCCATGTTCTTCCTATTTCTGTTTAATACTATCTTCTACTATTTTCTACTTTGTCTACCTATCATAGCTGAATTGGACTGATTTTCTCCCCCTGAAACATGGCATACTAGTTGCAGTCCATTGCCTTCACATTTTAAAAAGTTGAGGGAGATCAGATGTCTTTCCATTGTAATATAGAACACTGTTAACAATTTCAGCTTATTTCCTTTTTTGGGGCACAAACATCTGGATCTTAATATGAGTTAAGATCCTGGATTAATGTTTCTCAATTTTTAAAAAGCATGGACCACTAAATAAACAATCAAAAAATGCAATGAGCACCCAATTAAACAACACTGTCTCTACATTTTTGCATTTAAGAGCATGAGAATTCACTTTTCTGATGAATAACAATTTTACAGTGGTTGTATTTGTATGGCTTTCCATCTTCTCCCATTTTAAAGATCTTTTAAAACTAAAATCTGTATCAAAAACATAAGTCCAAAATTTATCATTTTAATTATATTATATACCCCATGCAGTGGTGGGATTCAACCGGTTCGTACCACTGCGGCAGAACCAGTAACTAATTTTTTGTTGCCCAGGCCCAGAATGGACTTCCAGAAGCAGCAACCACACAGAGAACCGGTTGTTCTCATATTTGAATCCCACTACTGACCCCCATGCCATAATGAATATCTAAGCACAAGCTTTCTAGTAAAATTGTTTTTTTAATAAACAGATGAGTCAACGTTGAGTGCATTGAAATCCTATTTTTAGACATTCATTATATTCATATTCACACTTTCCCTTTTCGGATTGCTTGCGTAAAATTAGTTAGCACAATACTGCACTTAGTTCTCTATTTCCAAGGCTATAGGCCTCCAGAGTGACATGCTGGGTATACTCGTATAGACTTACTGATTTTATATGGAGCCTTGTGACATCATAATCTGCTTAATTTACAAACCATTCTCAATATTCTGTAAATCCTGGCTACTTTCCTTTTATTTGTCCTTACAAATGTTGATTGCAACATTTTAGTTCTGCAGCCTGCTGATTGAGTGTAAAACTTGAACTGGAATACTTGGGGTGTGGTAGGCAAACAGCATTTGCAGTGTGGGGTGGAGCATAGGGAATGGTGCCACCTGATTTAGAGATGCATTGGGGAAAATGTTTTCCAAGGTTGCAGACTAGCTTGGGGTTTTGGCTTTGCTGCAGTGCCAATCAGTTAACCATGTCTTGCAGCTGTGCAGATCGAGTGGGATGATAGCCTCCTTCAGTTCATTCAGAAAATATTTTGGATCATCATTCTGATTGAATGGAAGATAAATACTTCATTATATTTACAGTAGCTATATATTTAGTCTGTACAATTTTACTTCATTTTTCAGCCAAAGGGGCTAAGACAGGGGTGTCAAACTGCCGGCCTGCGGGCCGGATGCATCACGCCAAACCACGGCCACCCCATTGCCGGCAATGGGGAAAAAGCCGCGATACATCGCGACACGTGACATGACATTGCAAGTTTGACACCCCTGGGCTAAGAGAACAGCTTGCTTATGTAAAAAGAATAATAACCACAAGAAAAATAGTTTGTCCCTAATCTTACAGTCTCAAAGCCACAACATTTAAAGGAAAAAAGAATGGGGAAGTAAGAAAAGAACTCAGGGACACATGGTTCTTTCAGTGCTCAGATGAAATGGAACCGCTTCAGGGAGAAGGCAGATACTGATTAAATATTAGGGGGGGAAAAAACTCTTCCTAATGATAAGAATTATTTAAGGATGAAACTACCCTGAGCAGTAGTGGATGCATTCAGTCAGAAGTTTAGGATCCAATCTGTCTTTGATGCTTGAATTTGGATTTCTGAACCAAGCGGAGACTAATGAGGGTGATCGCCATGGCCCCGTCCAATTGTCTTATTTTATGAGTCAAACAGTTTCTCATAGAAGTGCTCAGTATTCAGATCTGGAGCAAAGATGCTTTAGATCCAAATACCACCCACTTCTGGGCTGTCAAACAAGCCTGTTGATTTGTCCTTCTGCTCGCAGCTTCTATTCTTCAAGGGTTGGGTAGTTGCCAGGCTGTATGCACAATCAATTGCCATCTGCTGATTGGAATAAAAGCTTATTTTAAGTAGCTGCAGCTGATTAATTTTGCCTGAGCGGAAGATTTAAGGGGGCAATGTTTAGAAGATGGGCCCTGGTATTACATGTACAGTAGAAGGACCAGATGAATCCCTTGTGCATCTGCCTGAAACGCCCCAAAGTGGGAATGGAGAAGATTCTGCCTGAGTTGACAGTGACGATTTTTGTATGACATGCTATCTTAGCATTGAACATAGTTGAGTAACAAATCTGATGAAAGTCTAGTAAAAGATCAAGTTAATCACCTTAGCAACAGCTCCCTCTGCTGTCAAGGCCAAATAGCCCACCAATCTTTGTATTACTTGAGACTTCCTGTTTATTATGATTATCAGCAAACAACATGAACAAAAACCATTGTTTAGGTATGAAGGATTCTGCTTTATAGTCTCTCCTTTATCCCACATTGTGTTCCTCGGGTACTAACAAGTGCTTAACAGTTAGGTAGAATATTTATCATTGAATTAGGAAGCTATATCAGACTCTGGATAGAATAACTAGTCTATAACAAGCTTTGATTACAGATTGCAGTCAAAGTACTCCTTCAGAGCTAAATTCTGAGTCACAGTTTGGATTCAGTGGAGACAGCCAAACCATAATGTGGCTTAGTTGTTCTGTAAATACAGAATTGTGCTGAC